TGATAATCCAGAATAGTTTACGGTTATCGTTGATTTGCAACGAGCTGAGAAATTACGTCGACGAACGAAAGAGTTTTTCGGGAGAGATCGAAAAGTGGCGGAACAGGTATTTCGAAGTAATTTTGATAAGAAGCGAACAGTCGTCGCCTTCAATTTCTAATAACACCGAATTTTATGGAGATTATTAAAGCGTCGTTTAAACGACATGCTTCGAGGACACGATTTCGACCCGGTATTCGTTCGCGACTTTACGAGAATCGCTCTCGAATCGACGTTACCGCGTACGCGCCATTTGCAATCGAATATTCCCGCCAATTTACATATTCGGCTTCGACCTTCTTAAACGTGTCTCGATTTCGGATAAATTTGATGGGTGTTTGTGCTCGATATCGAGGGAAAATTTGCATTTGCGTCTTATGCGAAGAAAGCTTAAACTGTTTCTTTTAGCGTTCATGGGCGTAGCCAGTTGATGGGGTTCTTTATTTTTTATGGTAAATGTAACCACTTTTAAGAGACTTTAAATTCATTCTTTTGTAGTGCGATTGTATTAAATATTAGTTAATACAATTATAGTACATTGTATTAAAATTTAGTTTATACAATTTACTAATATTTTGTGCTAAATTAACACAATTTATTTGATTTTATGTAATTAAATAACAGTTAGTACGATTTACTATTTGTGCAGCACAATTGTATTAGTTAATACAATTTATTAATACTTGTACAATACAATTGTTTCAAATATTAATTAATATAATTTATTTTTATTACGTTGCATTAAGATAGTACAATTCATTAATTTTTATATAACATACTTGTACTAAATATCAGTTAATTACTGATTTATTTACGATTTACAGATTTTTATACAATATATGCTTTATCAAATTTTTGTATATCATACAAAAATATATTTTCGTATATCTATTAAAATTGTACATGTATCAAATATTATTAATCACGATTTTAATTTTATTTTTCCTTTTGGAGTGGTGTTAAGGGCACTTATTTTGTAAGGGAGTTTACCCTCCTTAGTTTTGCTTTTGGCTACGCTCATGCAAATGTACCATAGAAAAAATATTTTCAGAGTTTAATTTCCGATTAGTGCAAAAGCGAAAGATTCGGCTGGTTTCGAGAAAATAATCGAACCGATTCAGGGGTGTTGATATCGACTACGTTATCGATAAATATCGATATTATCGAAATATTATTGATTCAGTGCAATAATATATCGAAGAAAAATATATGTTATATTGAATTTAGAATAAATTACGAAATGATTGAGTTATTGTACAGTTCAAATTATAATGCAATTAAATTGTTCTGTAATTGAAAAGTAATTACGTAACTATGTAATTATGTGACTATGTAACGCAGTTAAGTTATCTTGTAATTCAATTTGAAACATAATTAAGTTATCTTGTAATTCAACTTGAAACATAATTAAGTTACCTTGTAATTCAACTTGAAACATAATTAAATCACCATCTAACTGAAACTGCACCGCTATCTAATTCAAATAATTTCATCATCAAGTCAAAAGTAATTAAATTACAGTGAAATTCAAATTACAACCCAGTAAAACTAAAGTGTAATTAAATTACATGAACTCACAGTGAAGTTCAATAAGCCCATAATTATCTATCGATGAAATAATTGATCGATATCAGCACCCCTAGATTGCCACATTCTTTGGCTTAACGAACAATTCACAGGAATTTCCCGAACACTTAGCGGAAAATTGCACTTGTAGAAGAAGAAAGAACATTTTCAAACTACATACTTTTCGATCGTTGCAATTTAATTGCATCACCCTTTTGTTCTCCAACGTTCGATTTACAATGCTCGACGCCAAACGCGAAATCGAAACCAGTCATGCGACCTCGACGTCTTACGCAGAACTTTCTAACGATATGTATGTATATATATATAGTTACGTATAAAATATATGTATATGTATATATATTAATACGGCTACGAACAAACTCGGTTAAATAAATAAAAAATATTGAAGAAAAACGCGAACGTACAAAATGATTATGCCGAGTATTTTATGTACAACCGTATCTCGGTGAGCGAAACGTTTCGAGAGTTAGTAGAACTAGCTTCAACTGGGTGAGTTCTTAAATAAACGTGATAAAATCGCATTAAATAAACATGTACAGTGGCGGTTGGGTAGTTAAGATCGCTTCGTAGTTTCGATGTTAAATGAGATCGATTATTGAGATTGGATTTAGTTGTTTTTCGGACAGATAACCTCATTTTGGGTCGGTGATATCGAATAATTGGAACACTGTTGGATAGTTGAATTGCAGACATATTTTTTAGGTCCAGGGATTTTAAGTTTGCAAATTTTTTGACTTCAAAATTCTTAAGTTCTTAGATTTCAATATTTTCTTTTTTAATATTTTTCAATTTTGGTATTTTAGTTTTCAAGCTTTTAAGTTTTCAAACTTCTAGATTTTAATATTTTCCTCTTTACCATTTTTCAGTTTTGACATTCTTCAATTTTTCAAGTTTTCGAATTTCCAAGCTTCCAGATTTTAATATATACCACTTTACAAGTTTTCAATTTTGATATTCTTCAATTTTTCAAGTTTTCGAATTTCCAAGCTTCCAGATTTTAATATATACCACTTTACAAGTTTTCTAAATTTTAATATATTCCATTTTACAGTTTCTCAATTTTGGTATTCTTCAATTTTTCAAGTTTTCGAATTTCCAAGCTTCCAGATTTTAATATATACCACTTTACAAGTTTTCAATTTTGGTATTCTTCAATTTTTCATGTTTTCGAATTTCCAAGCTCCTAAATTTTAATATTTTCCACTTTACAAGTTTTCAATTTTGATATTCTTCAATTTTTCAAGTTTTCGAATTTCCAAGCTTCCAGATTTTAATATATACCACTTTACAAGTTTTCAATTTTGATATTCTTCAATTTTTCAACTTTTCGAATTTCCAAGCTGCTAGATTTTAATATATACCACTTTACAAGTTTTCAATTTTGGCATTCTTTAATTTTTCAACTTTTCAAATTTCCAAGTTTTTATTGGAAGTTGATTGCTGGATCACCAAATTACTAATTTTGAAAGTTTGTAAAAATTTCTAAATTACTAACACTTTTCCAAATTTACAAGCATTCACATCTCTATATTTCTAAATTACCTTCCACAATTTCCACGACACTGATTTGGTCCATCCCCTGGTTCCAAGTACCTGTCCGCCATTTTGTTGACGCGCCTCCACAAAACGTAACATTAGATGAACGTAACAAAACGTAACAATAAAGAGAAAATTATTAAGAATAAAATTATATTGTCTCACAAAACGTCTACTAAGAATTAGCGACAAATTAAACACAACAATTAATAATATTTTAAAACCTGCATTTTCTAAATTACGAAGGGATCCTACCCGCCACTGTATCCACAAACCATCGAATTCCAGCTGTTCACACGACCTCATCTCCAAAATATCGATAAAGATCAGTGATCAGCAGGAATTCAAGTACTCGTTTAAATAAAATCTTAACAAAAAAACTGGTTAATGTTTCGGAAAGTTAAGAGTCGCTATCGATGATCGATTAACGGTTATAGAAGGGAACGAGTCGAAGGGGAAGAAAAAAAAAGACAGAAATCTCTTCGAGTAACTTAACAGGCGACTCACGTGAGTCGCCGTGATGCTTATACGCCTAAATTGAACTTACACGCTAGATCGTTCATGGAACATACAACGTTTAATATATCATAGATATATGGGACCAAAATCACCAGAACCAGCCGCGCAAAACTTTCGCGCCTCGAGCCATCCACGATCGCCATTCAACCGTTTTTATTTCTACCTTCTCGAGGAAATTCTATGCCCTTCGAGAAAGGGAGGCGTGACTGAGTATCCTAGGACGAATTGATCGTGCGTCGATCGTTTCACGCCGTACGAGCGAAATTTTCCGCTCCGCTCGGCGCATCCCTCTGTCGGGATTTCGTTCTGAAAATCTTCAGGGACGGCTTTTTTATTGAAACTTGCTTTCTTTCACTTTCAAAAGGAATCTCTTTACAATGGAAAAGAAAATAAATATTCTCTCAATTCTTTCCTTTTTTCTTTCATCGAACTTGGTACACAAGAGGTGAATTTCAAATTGATGACAAAATTTGGAAAAATAAAATTTCACTCCGGTAAATTCAGTTAGCGAATTTACACCCGTTAAAAAAGCAAATAGACTTGATCCTTTTAACTCATCTTGCACCCTCTTAAGTCATAGTCTTGCACCCTCATAGCCGTCCCTGCAAGTAGGATTCGCCACGATTAAGGCACTTGTGTTTCCACATGAAAATACGTTCGAAAAATATATCGGTATAAAAATAGAGTTTTCAGGTAGATTTTCGGGAAAAAATGGCGGGATCGAGCAGCAGCGAATGGTTCCGCTGGCTGACCGTGTTCCTAGATCGTGGATCCATAGATCGGATTCAGCTCGAGGCTCCGGCGACCGGCGCTGGTAAGCAATCGTGAGAACAGAGAGGAAAGAGCAGTTTCTTCCCTTTTCTCCAACGAAATCTTCACTTACTTCGCTTATTCCTCGTTGTTTCTCCGTTCTCGAGCAACGAAGCGAGGGATCGTAGAAGCCGCACACTCGAAACTCGCCGGACGTACCTCCGGTCGAGGTATCGAGCGCGTCGATCGTGCGTCGATCTTTCGACGGGTACAGATCGCGAGTGTCGCGTGCCAACGCGAGAAAACAGCGGTGTGGTGCGTCGGTAACAAACTAATAACAGTACAACGGTATATGATACCGATTTAATAGCTGCATTAGCTCGTTACTAGATTATACTATGGTTAGTGAGAACGCGGAGTTAGCGCAATCTTGGGTAATCGATGTTTCGCGAATCTGGGGATAAGTACACTTCGGGTTGGCCTTTGACGGCAGTATCCTCGATTTTTTAAAAATTAAGTATTTACAACTTGAAAATTTTTTATTTTTAGATTTGTCAATTATGAAGTTTTTGGACATGTAATTTTTGTTTGTGTGTTTGTAATTTTTAGATCATCAATATTCGTTTACAAATTTGTTAATTCATAAACATCTGAAGTTTCTTTAAGTTCAAAATTTCTAAGCTTACAAACTTTTTGCAAGTACTACATGGTTATGTATTAAATGTTAAAAACTAATTGTTTTAACATTTAACAATTCAAAGATATTTTGAAACATCTTTCTATTTTCAAACATCTACTAAAGTGTCCTTTAAGATTCAAACTTGAAGGCTGGTAAATTAGTGGTAAGGTAAATCCGCCGCCATTTTCCGTATAAGGTAGCCATACTCGTCCGTGTACTCAGCATGGTTACTCTATTATTACCGTATTAGTATAACGTTAGTATTAGCTGTGCTTAATATACCGGTTGTGTTGGCCGCCATCGACGCGTCGGCACGCGATCATCGTTCTCAAATTTATCATCGGCAAAAAAAAGTAATGAAAAAACCAACATCGTAAACGCGAATCCCGTGACCAGACGTACCAGTCGAAAGATCGCGAAATCGACCCTGCGGTCGTCCCAACCACAAGACGCGACCGGTGCGTCGCGGTGAAATGGTGGATCGCGTCTTACTTTTTACCGGATATTCGATTATATTACAACAGAGAGAGGTTAGGACAGAGACAGAGAGAAAGGTTGGTGGAAGAAAATGGGGGACGGGGAATAGAGAATTCGGGGTTCGCCCAAAACGGGCGTACTAAATGGTACCCAAAGCGTGTCTAAGCGTTGGTCCACGTTGGACCACGCGTCGTCACGTTTGGATCGTATCTTTACCTTCGACCTCCGTTACTGATTCTTTTAATCAGCCACACCGAAAGCACGCACGCAACAGGACAGGCACACCATCGTTATATCGTGTTAAGTTGAAAATGATTGCACGTTGAAAGGGAATCGGAAGCTGGTTCCCTTCGATGAACGCCGGGCACCGGTTGTGGACGGCCTCGGTGCCCGGAATCGGTGGAGAGGCGTTAACCCTTTGCTGTCGAAAGGACGAAACGTTACCCCGACTGGTTATATACTTAATAAATACTCGAACGAATCGTTTGGTAGCGGACGAGGCCCCGATCCGATCCAAGCGAACTTGCCCCGTGTTCGCGATAACCGCGGTAACACCTCGAGCGAGAGCAAAGGTTTAACGGGACCCATCGTTTTAAAGGCAGTAAGGATGGCAGAACTGATAGACGAGCCTCTGGCTACGCTCCGTCTTCTTCATGATACCCTTCTTGTAGTATTGTCTGATGCTACGACTCAGCTTGTCGTAGTTCATGGCCGGACGATTTTTCCGCTTGCCCCAGAGCCTGGCCACTCGAACCGAGTCCTCGATTTTGAACACGCCTTTGCCGCGATCCAACCAGCGTATGCACGAACCGTGGACACCGGGACTCTGCAGCAGCTCCTTCAGGAACTGCCACAGGTGGATGTGGGATCCGCCGTTTCGCATCTTACCGCCACCGCCACCACCGCCCGCTCCGGTTTGAGAGGAACCGCAGTCTTCGTCTTCGTCTGGAAAAATAGGGGCCTCACGCTTAGTGCGAGTCTTTTTAGCTATTAGAAAAAATTTCTAGTCAGATTTGGTGATTTTTTTTGATAAATTGAAGGGTTAACTTTAGTATGTGGACAGTAAGTACATGACTGGCAGTAGGTACACTTGAGCGCAACGTAGACTTTCTTTGTATGACACATAAGTAAATAATCTTATAATTTCTGAAGTCCCTAAATTTCCAAATTTTCAATCTCCAATTATCAAGCTTGACATACCAGAATTTAAACAATAAAACATTGCATGTAACAAATTCACATACATTGCTCTGTCCACTCTCTATCCACCACCTCTCACCAGGCCATATAGCGAGACTAACCCTTAACCCCTACTCCTAACCCCTACGTCCACATTCCCCAAACTTCTGATCCCATCAAAACGGCATCGATATTTTCTCGACTTCCTAATTATTGCCTGCGCACAACCTGGATACAAAGACTCGACATTTAATTTACAACTCGTGCTTAGCATACTGATGTCCGTAATTACAGTCGGCGCGTCGAGTAATTACGCTTTGGCTCGATTAACCGCGTCGATAACGGTCCGATATCTCTGTGTCGTGCATATCGTGTGTCTTATCAGCAAGATTCTGTTAGCACGCATAATTGTAAGGTTACGCGCAAAGCTGTGGCGTTTAAACGAGAAACAATCGTGGTTATATTTCATCGTAACGTATCTCTTCAGGGTATTATAGTTAAATATAATTTATCAGTTGACTCACCGTCAGAGAAATCGACGCTGCAGGAAGAGCCCTTAACGCTGACGGCTGCCGCGTTCCCGATAGGGGATGAGGCACTGTTGTTGCTGTTGCTGTTACTGCTGCTGTTGTTGCTTGGTGTCTGAACTACGCCTGCGGGACTCCAGGAAGCTGCCAGTGTGTTACGTGGAGATTCCTCCACGGCTGCCTTCCAGATTTCTAACTGGGCGTGCAGGATACTTCCACACTGCAACAGAAATTGCATCTCTTTGTTAATTTTTGGTCTGTTTTAAATATTTCGTGAAATGTTACTTTTTTATTTAAATTTATCTGAAATATTTTTGTAGAAATATTAAATACTGGTACTGGTTGTTAATACTGGCACGAAGTTGATTTTATAATAGTACTCTTTTATTAAAATTTTTCAATATTGTACAAATTTAAGTATCGTGATTAATTGTTATTCTTTCTGTTTTAAATGTTTCTCACATTGTTCCTTTTTTATTCAAATATTATTTAAAATACTTTTGTAAATTTTATCACTCTATGTTCCAGCTATGTACAAAAATTTGAACATCGTTGCACAACGTAAGGTCGCCACAAAATTAAATAAACTATAGGGCATTATTCACAATTTTTATCAGAAATATTTGTTCAGGAGAATTTATTCTGTTCCTTGTTTCATAAACTCTCGAACCAATTTCACTTAACAAAATGTACCTATAAGTTCCGTAATTAATGTTATGCTTCCAATGAACGATAATTATCAGTCGTGCCAATAGCAGTTACGTTACCGAAAGTGTTCGGAATCGATAATGGTTATTGGTAACAAAAAATTAATTCTCGTCATCGACAATGGTAGTCGGTAACAAAAAAACAGCCACGTTAATAATAGTGATTGGTAGTAAGACAAAAATTGCAATTATTTATAACACCCATTCATAACCCAGACAGTGAACACTTTATCATCGTCTTTTTCTTGATCAGCTGCTCGTCAGTTTTGGCACAAGAAGTTTTTTTAAAAATATGCACAATTTTTTGAGAACATGACATGTGTCTTAAGAAAATGAACAATTTTTTAGAGACTTGACGAGTTTTCTAAAAATATGAAGACTTTTTAAAGAAAATGACAAGGTTTTTGAGATAATGAACAATTTTTTAAGAACATGAAAAATTTTCTAAAGGCATGAAAAACTTTTTAAGAACATGACAAGTTTTTAAAGAAAATGAACAATTTTTTAAGAACATGAAAAATTTTCTACAAATATGAAAAATTTGTTGAGAACATGACAAGGTTTTTAAGAAAATGAACAATTTTTTAAGAACATGAAAAATTTTCTACAAATATGAAAAATTTGTTGAGAACATGACAAGGTTTTTAAGAAAATGAACAATTTTTTAAGAACATGAAAAATTTTCTACAAATATGAAAAATTTGTTGAGAACATGACAAGGTTTTTAAGAAAATAAACAATTTTTTAAGAACATAACAAGTGTTCTAAAAACCTAAAAAATTTGTTAAGAACCTGACAAGTTTTTAAAGAAAATAAACAATTTTTTAAGGTTCCAAAAACAAGAAAAATTTTATAAGGACATAATAAATTTTTAAATAAAATAAAATTTTTTCAAGAAGAAGCAAAATGTATTAAAAATATGAAAAGTTGTATTTTAAACTGTAGTAGCCAGTAAACATTAATTATAGGTTTGTATCTTATAAATATATCAGTAGACCGTTGCGTCTCCGTTTAAAATTCCTCCGTTTTCCCCAGTAATCGCGTGTCGAATCTCGAAACGAACGAGTTTAACAAACTAATCAAATTAATTTGTCGTTTTCTCCAGACGTTTTCTCCCGCAATCTCTAAAAACCATCTTATCTCTAATGACCGTGTGCGGTGTCCATTTTGCAGAAATAGCGTAGTACCCCTTCTACCGCGGTATTGTAAGAAGTTCCAAGAATGTGTTCGGCGGTGTAAGGAGAGGGAACTGGTGGGAAGAGAAGAAGAAGAAGTCAGGAAGAGTCGAGTAGATAAATTTATCATAGCCGGAGATTAATAGCACCCCGCAAGAGTTCCGTGGTAATGTAAAACAATTAAGTTTCACGGTAACCGTACGAACAAGCCCAAGATAAATAAGAAGAAACGCAAGGTGGCGGAACGACCAACAAAAGCGTACACGGACAGAATTGGAATACTTAACGATAACTGTACATTTTCGAGCGAATAATTTGGAGCCACCGTGAAACACGATGCAATTACTTTGGAACATCGAGGAACAACTTGAATGGAAAATGCACTCGGTTCCGAGAGCTAATGGAATATTTCGAATGGCTGTTACGGATAATCGCTGCAGTCGTTAGGGATCGGTACATTTCACTTGGACATGAAACTAATTTTTCTTTATTTTATTTTCATTTGAAGGATTGATCTTGAAAAATATTTTTTAATTTTTGGGGGGTAAATTTGGAGTTTTGAAATTTTTTAATCTGAGAATTTGGAAATTGTAGAATTATTAAATTTGAAAATTTGGGGTTCATCGAATTTTCGAACTTCTGAATTTTTAATTCATCGAATTCTCAAATTTTGGATATTAAAATTATGGTGTTTGCAAGCTTGAGAAATCGGGAATTATCGAGATCTCAAGTTTGAGAATTAGGAAATTATCGAAATCTCAAGCTTGAGAATTAGGAAATTATCGAACTCTCAATCTTGAGAATTCGGGAATTACCGAATTCTCGATCTTGTGAATTAGGAAATTACCGAGTTCTCAAACTTGAGAATTAGGAAATTATCGAACCCTCAATCTTGCGAATTAGGAAATTATCGAAATCTCAAGCTTGAGAATTAGGAAATTATCGGATTCTCAATCTTGAGAATTCGGGAATTACCGAATTCTCGATCTTGCGAATTAGGAAATTATCGAAATCTCAAGCTTGAGAATTAGGAAATTATCGAACCCTCAATCTTGCGAATTAGGAAATTATCGAAATCTCAAGCTTGAGAATTAGGAAGTTATCGAATTCTCAATCTTGCGAATTAGGAAATTAACGAAATCTCAAGCTTGAGAATTAGGAAATTATCGAATTCTCAATCTTGAGAATTAGGAAATTACCGAATTCTCGATCTTGCGAATTAGGAAATTACCGAGTTCTCAAACTTGAGAATTAGGAAATTATCGAACCCCCAATCTTGCGAATTAGGAAATTATCGAATTCTCAATCTATCGAATTAGGAAATTATCGAGTTCTCAATCTTGCGAATTAGGAAATTATCGAATCCTTAGTCTTGCGAATTAGGAAATTATCGAGTTCCCAAACTTGTAAATTACGAAATCTCTCCACATCCATAATACAAGATAAATTTATAAACTTTAAAATTCTGAACTTCCCAAATTTAAAAATTTATTACCCATTCAAACAAATCCCCAAAATCCGAAATCTCTCCACAAATAAAACACAAAATATTTCTCTAAAATAACATTTAATAGATGGTTTCAATCGATCCAACCCAATGGTGCTGATAGAGGGGGAAGAAGGAAAGCGATAAGAGGAAAATGCGTGAAAAGTAGAAAACCCATAGGAAGGGGAAGTTGGTAGCTACAGGGGAATACTGGATACGTAAGCGTTAGAATTCCATCGACGGAGTCGTTGCGCCGCGAGAGAAGAGAAAGCGGCTCTGTTGAGACGCAACAGGCAGTCGAGCAAGCCAGGCATTCGGTTGACCCACTTTTCGATCGTTTCTGCCGGGCAAATAGCTCGTCTGCGGACGTATATATACGCCATACGATCCTGTTGTTTGATGTTGAGGAGACTGGAATCGGGAATATGGGAGACAATGGAGATGTGGGATCTCATAATCTTCTTTGAGACATTACACTATTATTATAGAGGCATTGGGCTATATCTGTAAATTGCAAAATTTCAAAAGTGCTCAAATAGCTAAGAAGTCAAACTTCCTTGGTCCTCAAATTGTAAGGTCTCCAAATTTCCATATCCTCAATTTTCTACACTCCCAAACTCCTATGACTCCAAATTTTCACTTCCCCAAATTTCTATATCCAAAAACTCCCATATTCCCAAATTCCCACATCCCCAAATTGCCACATCTCCAAATTTCCACATTCCCCGATTGCCACGTCCCCAAATTCCCACATTCTCAAATTCTCACATCCCCAAATTGCCACGTCCCCGAATTCCCACATCTCCAAATTGCTACGTCCCCAAATTGCTACGTTCCCAAATTCCCACATTCCCAAATTCCCACATCCCTAAATTCCCACATCTCCAAATTTCCACATCCCCAAATTGCCACGTCCCCAAATTCCCAAATTCCCAAATTCCCACATCCCTAAATTCCCACATCTCCAAATTTCCACATCCCCAAATTGCCACGTCCCCAAATTCCCAAATTCCCAAATTCCCACATCCCTAAATTCCCACATCTCCAAATTTCCACATCCCCAAATTGCCACGTCCCCAAATTCCCAAATTCCCAAATTCCCACATCCCTAAATTCCCACATCTCCAAATTTCCACATCCCCAAATTGCCACGTCCCCAAATTCCCAAATTCCCAAATTCCCAGAATTCCCACATCCCCAAACTTCCACATCTCCAAATTTCCACATTCCCAAATTGCCACGTCCCCAAATTCCCAAATTCCCAAATTCCCACATCCCTAAATTCCCACATCTCCAAATTTCCACATCCCCCGATTGCCACGTCCCCAAATTCCCACATTCCCAAATTCCCACATCCCTAAATTCCCACATCTCCAAATTTCCACATCCCCCGATTGCCACGTCCCCAAATTCCCACATTCCCAAATTCCCACATCCCTAAATTCCCACATCTCCAAATTTCCACATCCCCAAATTGCCACGTCCCC